GGAGGTTTGGACTAGATGACCCACAGAGGTCCCTTCCAACCCCAAACATTCTGTGATTCTGTGATTCAGTGGTGACAAAAGGGTCCCGTACTCACCAGCCCTCACCGTAGCTGGGATTTCATACCGTGTGCGTGCGGCGTTGGGCCGTGCAGGGGTTTGGACGTCTGTCCTTTGGTCGTTCCCATTTTGCAGGCCGAAAAGGAGTTCTCTGAAGCAAAACGCTCCAACTTTGCCAGTGCTTGCAAGCAATTGTAATTATAGTTTAAACTTTGCAAAGAGCTTCAAAAACACATGTGATGGTGCAGCTGCTGCCCTGAAGAATTTAGTCTGCTACAAAAAAGTCCCAGGACAGGGAAACAGCGATGAAAACCCATTTGCTTTCCATCGTCTTTCCTCTCTTCTTGCCTCACCACTAAAGTGATGTGCACCTGCATTCGTCTGGTCATTGAATCATCTCGTGGTTTGGGCTGGAAGGAACCTTTCAAGAGAGGACGAGAGGGAATGGCCTCAAGTTGGGTTAGGGGAGGTTTAGATTAGATATTAGGAAAAATTTCTTTACTGAAGGAGTGGTCAGGTATTGGAACAGGCTGCCCAGGGAAGTGATGGAGTTGCCATCCCTGGAAGGGTTCTAAAAATCTGTAGATATGGCACTTCAGGACTTGGTGTAGCAGGCATGGTGGTGTTGGGTTGATGGCTGGAGTTCATGATCTTAGAGGTCTGTTCCAACCTTAGTGATTCTATGATTATATGATTCTATAAGATCATCCAGTCCAACTCCCCTGCCATGGGCAGGGACATCTCCCGCGAATGAGGCGGGAGCTGCTTTGCTTTGCTTTTCGCCAAAGCGACGGGCAGCTTCGGTGGCGGTGGGACGCGCTGTGCACGCCTGGATTCATCACCTCCTGATTTTGATCTTTCAGTCTGTGTAGCACTGAACAGTCAACTATTTATTTTTAATCTTCCTTTTCACCTTGTAAGGTTAAAAGGCTGGTGGTGCTGCAGTCAAGTGCTGCTCTGAAAATGGTTTCTAGCTGATGCAAAGGGGAAGTTTCTACTGCGAAATCCAGGTTTTGGGGGGTCCAAAAGTGCAGGGTTTTTACACAGGCACCGATATTTCAGATTTAATGCGCTGCCTTAATAAACTTCAGGCGGGAGCTCTGTTCTTGTCCATCTCGTGAACTTGCTAAAGAAGTTTATGAACTGTTTATGAAGATGTTTTCTACCTGGATGAAGAGTTAGAATGTACCCTCAGCAAGTTTGCTGATGACACCAAACTGGGAGGTGTGGTAGATACACCAGAAGGCTGTGCTGCCATTCAGCGTGACCTGGATAGGCTGGAAAGCTGGGCAGAGAGGAACCTGATGAAGTTCAACAAAGCCAAATGTAGGGTCCTGCACCTGGGGAGGAACAACCTCATGCACCAGTACAGGCTCAGGGTGGACCTGCCGGAGAGCAGCTCTGTGGAGAGGGACCTGGTTGTCCTGGTGGACGACAGGTTAACCATGAGCCAGCACCTTGGTGGCTGATGTGCAGCTTGTCACCCACCAGCACCCGCAAGTCCTTCTCCTCAGGATTGCTCTCCATCCCTTCACCCCCAGCCTGTATTGATACCGGGGGTTGCCCCAACCCAGGTGCAGGTCCCTGCACTTGGCCTTGTTGAACCCCATGCGGTTTTTACAGACTCACAAAACATCTGGTTTTATTTTAATTCATTTTATTTTAATTTTTATTCCAAACCAGTAGAAGCTCTTGAAGTTGCTGGTGTTAACTTCCCGGCTTTTCAGTTGGTTCAACGTTTACCAGTTGACTTAATGCACCCTGACTTGCAGCATACTTCGTAGCGCTGCTTGTTTTATAGATGCTCGCTCGTTAACGGCAGCGTGCTGGCCTTGAAAGCATCATCAAAAGTCCGTTGCATACTGCGACGCTGCAGAAAATAATTTGCATGCGGGCATTATTAACCGCATGAAGTTCAACAAGGCCAAGTGCAAGGTCCTGCACGTGGGTCGGGGCAATCCCAAACACAAGTACAGGCTGGGTGGAGAGTGACTCGAGAGCAGCCCTGAGGAGAAGGACTTGCGGGTGCTGCTGGAT